TTTCTCAGAAACTGTTCCAAGGCATAGAAATAGAAAAGAATTATTTCTTTTCAAAAACTGCTAGAAAATAGAATGGTTGTCATGCACACCCCAAGGAAACAGGAATCGATTATCTACTTCTTCTTTTTGGTAAAAATCGATTATCTACTTAAATGAATACAAAATAAGAAAAAGACACATATATTGGATTATTACTTTTTAAATATTTTAATCTAAACTATCCCCGATAAAATAAAGAACAAAATTCACTTCACCTTGAGGACAAGGTGAAAGTTTTTTTTGGGAGGGGGGGAGTATTGATATGTCCCCACCTTTCAAGCAAGAGAAATAAGTGGGCTGGAGAATCATGTTGAGTCAGCAAGTTTGTTAACAAAGAATATTCTAGAGAAAGCTAAACAGAAAACAATAAGGAATTAGACATTGGCTGAAAATTCACAGTATAAATAAGAGTACGAAGGGAAAGTCTGAGTATCTGGAATCTTTGAAAAATATTGGGATCCTTTTGGATATTGAGAGATATCGACACCTCTCAAATGTGTTGAACTTAATTTTTCTATTTTATCGTAATTGTAATCAATAGTAGAATTTGCCTTGTAACGAAGTTGATTATATGTTGTTGTTCTTTTTTTTTGTGCTTGGTCTAATTTTTTGTTTTAAACATATTTGGTCTTATATTTTCTTCTTCTTTTTTTCTTCAGTTTATTTTCTTGTTTTTGATTTATAGTATTTTTATTTTATTTTTTACTTTTAGTTTTTTCTGTTACTATTGTAAAAAAAATTTGCTCAGTTTATTTTTTTCTTTTTGATTTATACATATTTTATTTTATTTTATTTTATTTTTAGGAAAGGTAAAATAAACAAATTAGTTAAATTTTTAACTGTGCTAAATATGAATTTAGATAATAAAAAAATCATCGAAAGTAAGAGACTTTTTTTAAAAAAAAGGAGGTTAAATGATTCAGAGAAAAAATATAATGAATTTTTGAATTTTTCCCTAAAAATATTATCAAGTCGGAACTTTCTACTTATGAATGCAATTAAGAAAAAAGTTAACCCCAATAATTGTCTAAAAAAATATTACCCCCAATAATTAAGACACCGACAGAGATCCGACATTTTCTAGTGGATAAACTTAACAAGTAGAGCATCCGTTTCGAATACGATAAGTCTGCAGTTTCTAGTCATGAGCGCAATTGAAAGATGACCCCTGATAAGAAGACACCAAAATAAATCAATGTTTTAAAACCTCACTCCACTTTTAAGTGACTCGGGTCAACTTTGATCCATCCCTTCTGAGGGTTGGGGTCACAAGTTAGATCTTATATGCATATCGACTCTTCCGACTCTTAAAATCCGGCCGGATTTTAGTAACTCCCGGATCAGAGGGGTCAAAGGAGATCATTGCATGTTTTTTTTTTAAAAAAAAAAATTCCAGGAAACAACATTATTTTATTAAAAAATAAAATAAAAATGCTTGCAAATCTAAATCTAATTGTTCTCTTCTCTCGTAGTGACCTAAATGTTTTCAATTTTTACCTCATTGTCGTGAATCTTCTAGAAAAGTTAAGAATTTTACACCTTCAAATGAAATCCTTACCGTTGTCGATGGAAAACAAAAACTCATTCTTACTTCCTTTAAATTTTTCTTTGTCAGAGACTTCTCAAAAGAGGCAGAACTGAGTCAGTGTAGTAACCCCATTAGAATATGAGTTTTGTACTTTGATATCTTGATACTTTAATTAGGTTGTATAATATTGACTTGTGGTTGTAATTGGGAAATTATGTTAAGTATATTTTGAATTTTTTATGATTGGTGATTGGTGATTTGTTTTTTAATATTTTCATATAGGATATATATATTTATATTTTTTTAATATATAAAACTGAGTCAGCATAGTGACTCCTTGACACTCCAGTTGAATCTGTGACCCCTGACCTCACCCAGATCGATGGCCGGGCTTTTAAACACTGAAATAAAGGGTTTTTTTTTTTTTTTTTTTTCATAACAGAATAGAGATCTTTGTCCTGAGGAGATGAACATTTGATTGAGTGCCAATTAATTATGGCATATTCTAAATTATATTCCTCATGTTGATAACCAAGTGGGACAGTCGAATTTTGCTCTTTTTGCTTTTCCAGCATGCTGTTATATACTTTTTCCTTTTTTTTCATACGAATTTTGCTCTTATTTCTTTTCCAGCAAGTTGTTATATATTTTCTCTTTTCTATTTTTGGTACCAAAAAAAAAATCACGGATTTTTTTAACTATGGATTCTCACTTCCAATTTTTTTTTAATAGAAAGTTGAACAAATTAAAGATTAATAAAGAGTAAATTATATTACTTTTTGTATGATACAATATTATGTTGAATATATATTTATCTTAGGCATCTTGAGAATAGTTACTTGCCCAACAAAGGTAGGTACAATTTATTAAGGATTAAGTCCATATCCTACAAGGACTTGAATTCGAATCTCGCTGGTTGGTATAAAAATTTTATTGATGAGCAATCTATAACTCTACTTAGAAATCCATATAGTGGTTGGGGTCTCTCTTGACTCTTGACCATGATAAGATACAGATATTTAATTTCACCTAAATTTTTTTTATTAAAAAAAATAGTTATTTACGAGTAGGGATGTAAATGGGCTGAGTTTTGGCTTTGGCGGCCTAAGCCTACGTAAAAATATATTGAGTCTATCTGACCTATCAATCTATCAAAAGGCTTAGTTTATAGGCCAAGCTCGAAAATAAAAAGCCTATGAGGCCTTTTAGGACTACGAAGTTGTAAATTAAACTAAAATAAAAAAATATCTCATTCATTATAAAATAATGTTCAACCAAGATCCAAATTATAAAAATTCTCAAATGTTTTTTAACAAGAACACACAAATTTTTAAATAATATTCATGTCAACAAAGATTGTTTTTTTTTTTTACAGCTTTGACAATCTTCTTCCTAGCCGTCTCCAAGCCGCCTGACAGAAAATGGGTTTGAAGAAATTTGAGTGATAACGTAGGAGAGTGACAACTGTGATGAGATACGACGCATAGAATTAGGGTTAGTGACTTAGTTCAGATAAATAAATATGAAATATAATAAATACTTTTTAAATAAACAGGCTGACCTACAAACTTTTTAGGTCCGGCTTTGTGTTGTTGGCCTACGGCCTATTTATTTAAAAGATTTTTTCATAAGCTTAGGCCTGCTCTAATTATTAAATAGGCCGAGCCGAGCCTAACATAGACCAACCTAGCACATTTACATCTCTACTTACGAGTTACGACGTCAGGAACTCGGCTTGGGATTACATCACAATGCTGAGATCCCATAGAAAGGTAAACTCATGAGTCTGGCGTTCCTTGTTGAATATTTATGGTACGCGTTCTGGAAATAAACTAATTACGTCAGATACTAGACTTGGTGATTACGTCATACTATTGTCCAGACATGTAGATTAGTGTAACTGTGCATTAGAAGATAACTCGAGGCTTTTCATATTTATCTTCATTAGAAGATAGATTAATGTAAATGTGTATTAGCAATAATTGCTCAACTATTCACCAAGGGAAAAAGAATCCAATAATTGCTCAACAGGCAATTAAGATAATTTTAACTTGAATCATTGCAATGTTGTGGACCCACCATCTTATTCATTGAGTAGCTGCGCTTATAATTCAAGACATATGAGGCATCTACCTCGATCAAATCAATTGATGAAAAGTTAAATGTGAAACTGCAAAACAAGACAAACAGCATAGCGAAATGTATCTATCGTCTGATAGGAATCAAATATTTTATCATGTAAAGAAAAAGAACCAATTCATTTTTTTTTTAGGTTACAAGGAATTGAACACAACATCCTACATTACACATACTCTGAACACATACATTCCACACTACTAGGTTAACTCTAGTGGTAGACAACCAATTCATTGAATAAAGTGTCTTATTACTTTTTTTAATATTATATATATCTTATCTTTTTCTTAAAATGACAACACAATTAATTCCTACAACGTGAGATATATAATCCCCAACAACATATATACGCTTCAACTTTTCAAAAGAATTAATTTACATGATAATTTAAAGATAAAAATATATTTATCACACTCACATAGAATTTAACGGGTCTCGTTAATAATTTTTTTCTCTTCTCTTTACAATAAGATTCACTCAATTTTATATGAATATAGAGATATTTTATCTGTAATAAAAATAGAAACATTAAACCTACTTTCAATAAGGAAGGTAAAAAGGAACCCACTTAATCCTCGTTCTTGACAATATTCCCATTGCAGCTTCCTCGCAAAAGGCTAGCATTACGTGTTTAGCATAGTGCAAAGAATGATAGAAAATGTGACAAGACAAGATCGCTGGAATACCAATAAACGCAGTAATAACATAGAAGGTCCAATTGGGCAAGAAGCTGTAGACCAAAACCACACCAGATATAATAGAAGCGCTACCCATGATTGCCAGAGATGCATACAGTAACAAACACCCCATCATACTCCTTATTAGCCGAGAGAAGAAATAACCAACATTTGTCTTAACGATTGAAGGGATCATAACTGAAGTGAAGAGGATCATTGATAGTGCACAGGAGCTTACTCCAAATCCAACTGACAGAATAAATATAATGTACCATGTCTTGGGCTCTAAAAAAGGAGTCTTTGGATCAATGGTATTAGTACGAAGGGTGAGACCTCCAGTCATCCCTAACGTCATAATAAGAGTTCCCACAAGTAGGAGATTACTTACAATTTCGATCAGTTCAGATGAAGCTTTTTCAGATAACTTTCTGTGTTCACTGTAAAATAATTCTTTTGGAGGCCAACCATCCGTATTTTCCATGCTTCTCAATGCACATGGAACTATCTTCTCCACTTCCTATATATATATATATATATAGGTTTCAAAAAAAAAAAAAAAAAAAGACATTTAAGAAAAAGAAAGTGTATAACCAACAAAGAGTAAGATAATTAATTGTATATCAAAAAAATGTAAATAATGTAGTGTAGATGCACACCTTAAACCACATCTCCTCACTGCTAAGTAGAACCGGACATACGGGTGATCCAAATCTGTCTTCAGCAGACAGCTTTCCAGCTAAATGAAGAACATTGTTTCCATCTTTATCGACTAGTTGCAGTAAAACATTCTTGTATGCACCTTTGCTCATTATTAGTCGATATACAGCTATGTGTCGATATAAAATAGCAATGTGAAGTATGCTTTGTCCTTTGGAATCAACTTTCATCAACAAACTTGGATCGTACTTTAAAATATATTTCAGAATCACAACATTTCCTGATTTTGCTGCATCAAACATTGCTTCTGAAGTTCTTACGGAGTTCAGAAATTCCTCTTTGATGCCCTTAAACAAATAACTTATAATATCTCGATAACCTGGAGCATTCTCCTCAGAGGCTGGCTCAGTAGATGTAAATAATTATATTAGTTTCAATTATTTTATACGGCAATACATGCTTGGATGAGAGCAAAAATTCTTAAAACTAAATTAAAATAACAAAGTTATTTAAAACAATTAAAATAACAAAAAAGGTTCTTTCTTTTTTTAAAAAAAATTTCGGGAAGGAATGAAATTTTTTCTAAACTCAAATCTTGTAATATGTAAAATGAACAGCATATCTAAATAAGAAAACTGAATTGTACAAGAGTGTCAGGTCAGTGACGTTTACGTATTTTAGCAAGCACTTGCAAGGCGGTTAGCCCCTCTTCGTTTCCTGTGGTTGCGAGTTTTGGATATCTATCCAACAAATTCAATGCCACACCTGCACAGACCAACAAATAATTGAAAACAATGAATAAATCATTAGCATAGTTTAAATTTCAACATAAACCAAACAAGAAAGAAAACTGAAATTCACTTATAAGCACGTACGTTACCACCTTTAGTTATGTTTGGACTTTAGAAAGATCAAAACTGTGGAAGAATTCCAAATTAAGATTAACACACACACATGTGAGGTACCATTTTTGATATCGGTGTCAAATTTAAAATTTAAAATTTGACACCTCATATGATAAGCGTTAGATCAAAAAAGATCAACAACTCTGATTTGTAAGCATGTGACACCATTGATCTTTTTTGATCTAACGACTATCAGATGAGGTGTCAAATTTCAAATTTGACATCGATATCAAAAAATCTTACCTCTATATATATATGTGTGTGCGCACGCCCGCGCGGCAACTTACTGTAAATGTTGTTGGTAATGGTAAAGAAAAAGAGCATGGCTATGTCTTGGGAGGGTAGATTAGAGCGCATGTCTTGTGGAGTCTTTTCAAACAAAAGTTGCACCATATGAGAGTGTCCAGCAGAAGATGCCAATTGAATTGGTAACATGTCTTTATGGCCTCTAATCCATACCAACGCTGGGTTCTTGTTAAATAGAATTGTAGCAATTTTCGCGTTTCCTGAAATAGCAGCTAGACAAAAGGCTGTATTTCCATATGCGTTGCGAATTTCCAAATCAAGCAAGCTCATACGTTCCAGCAACTTTGATACAAAAGTGGATTGTTCCATGCTCACTGCAACGTGAAGGGCTGTGTCTCCACCAGCACTCAAAGGAGTACATACCCAGTTTGGATGAGTTTTATCATACTTTGAAGCCTCAACCCAATCCCCTGAGGTCGCTGCCATACGCATATGCCTTTTCCATGTTCCTGGTATAATATGTGCATGGCTAATGTTAGATAGGGTATTTTGAAATTTAACAATGTTTTTTAGACTTTAGACAACATTTTTATTATAACACTTTTTTTATAATTAATCAAGAGGTTTTTGCAAACACCAATTTTACACGTATTAATGATGTATAAATTTTTAGCAACAATGTCTATCCACTGATTAACAGATTATTAAACAATTACTATAATATATTAATCAATTATTAATGATCCTCAAATCAAATAACATACGTTATACTAATTAAAAACTTGTACGTGAATATGTCATTATCTTACGTTAAATTAGTGTCCAAAAAGCGGTGTCATAGGTAATAGTCCACTCATACGTAGTCTAAAAAAAATGAAAAACTATTTCCTTTTGAAACACTACTAGAAAAGAATCAATTAACGAAGGACTTTCTGTATTGAAAAATGTCCAATTAAAAATATAAATTGAGAAATTGATTGTTATGAATCAATAGAAGGGGCTCATATTCTAAAAAGCTCAATATTACAAAAAAAAAAAAGCCCAAGAAAGGGCAATTGAAAGAGGAAATTAAAGCAAATAAAGAAAATTGGGCCTTAACCTACAATCCAATTAATCCATTTAGATTTATAAATTATGATGCATAAACTATTATACACGATACATGAAACAAGATAATATATGCAGATAAGTTATCTACAGTAAATCTAATACGATATTATTTTGGGACATAAATTATAGTATTTTTGTAATTTTAATTTATTTTAGGATTATTATAGTCTTTATAATTATAATCTTTTAATATTTCAATTCTAAAACAACGTCGTTTTGAAAATAAATGCGGATAACTTATCTGCAGACGCAGTAACTGCAGAAATATTTTTTTGATACAACAATTAGGCATTACCCCCTAATTTATTTTTTAATTGTGACACTATTTAATTATACCACATTCTACATACGCGTCCATAGGTATGTATTTATATAGAGATGCTAAATTCAGCAACGTCGATCAAATAAAATATTAATGTTAACATACTTATTGGACAATTTTAACTAATTAACAATATTATTGTATATTTGTCTAAACGTTGTTGATTAAATTTGACTAATGGGTAATTATGTATCAGATTGATAGTTTAAATTTATATGAATAAAAACAAATTATATTTAAATATGAATAAAAGAGTTTAACATCTACCGAAGTTATATACGGGCGCCTGTGTATAATTGATGCTATTTAAATAAGTTTTCGTCTAAGTAATAAAACTCAATCCAACTGACATGATAATTTTGTTTGATATAATTTATATAAATAATATTGACTAATTAATTTTGATATATAAAAAAATTTAAGTTAAAAACTTATACTGTTAATAAATTTTTAAAAATTTTAAGTTTATCTATCCAACCTTGGATATTGGAAGTTTTTATTATCTAAATCAAGTTCGCAAATTCTCATACAATTTTTTTTTTTTTAAACAATTCTCATACAATTTAAAACTAACTGATATATACTTCATTCATAACTTTATTTTAACGTATAATATATTTTTTATTATACAGATGCAAGTTACAAAATTATATATATATATATATATATATGGGAGAATAGTTTCTCCTGTCATTGAAGAAAGCTATTCTCCGATTGTGAGACATAAAAAGTCATGTCAGTTTATTTTTTTAATATATTTGTAAAAAAAAAAAATGATGGCCCACATGTGTATGTGTCTGTTGCATGAAGAGAAAGATTTCCTGCAACAGTAGATATATAATTCTCTATATATATATATATATATATATATATATATATATATATATATAAATGTTTAATTTATCTAAAATTAGTATCTATAGTCATCAATAAAAAATTTGTGTTGGTAAACATAGTCATATCATATGATTCAGCGGTTAAATTTATTAAAAATTTATATTTTATTAAAATTAGTTATTAAATGGTATAGACAAATGTTTGAAACTTACTCTTAAAATAATTAAATCCTCGTCCAAAAAATTTTCAATTGTAAAAAGATAATATAAGAATGGAAATAAAATTTTTCAGAAAAATAAAAATAAAAATCTTACCATCTGGTTCCGAAGAAAAGCGTTCTCCAGCTGCTTCTGCAAGCTCTACTTCTTCGTGAAGAATACCTAGTTTATTGCAGAATGTACATATGACTTGTAGCGCAAATATTAATAGTAATGTAATTCATTCAGCTATTAGATGTAAAAAAAATTCATAATATGTTGATCATGAAAATTTTACATAAATCAACGCATAATTAACTATGCATGTTCCAGTATATTTTATAAAAATTTCATAAATAACATAAGCTAGCAATATCATCCATAGTGTCTGAAATATTTTGTAGTTTAAAAGCTATTTTAAAGCTAAAGCCAAAAATAATATCTTACAAAACAAATGGCTCTAGAACCTCTATTTCATATTTAATGCAGTGATCATCGTATATAAGAAACCCAATTAATTCGGTTTGACCATTATTTGATCATATAAGGTGTGTCTTTCTCAAGACCATTTTCTCTAACGATCTGAATCCTCTCATGTGAAAATTCACATGACCATGTCATGTGGGGAATCATAATTACACAAAGGTGAATCAATGGTAATAAAGAATGAGAGAAAAAAATGTTAAAATAGGTAGTTACGAAATCATAACCATTGATTTACTTTTGTATGATTGTGATCTTCCCACATGATCATATCATTTTTTTTTTCACAGGATGCATTTCCATTTTGAAAACTCAAACTCCAAAATATATAGATAAGTAAAACAATGACCTTATTACTTGAATCAATGATTAATCATTATTTAAGAATTTTTTAAAATAATATATATTTGGCCCAATTTCGAATTCTCTGTAAAAGCAAAAGAGAAGCTAATATTCGCAGGGCAAACAAGCACTTATGTAAGCTTTTATCACCAAAACGGTCATGCATCTTATAAAGAATCAAACATAAAAAGTTTAAGATGGAAAATGTTATACTTATTATCTATTTTCTTACTATCAAATTTTAATCGTTGATTTCCGTTAATTTAACGATTGTAATTTATTGCAAATTAATAATTAATTAATAAGTATGAAACTATAAATTACAACCGTTAGATTAACAAAAATCAACGGTTAAGATTTGGTAATAACATATAATAAGAAAAACATGTAGTAAGTATAACTTCTCCCCCGTTCAAATTATATTAGTACTATTTTTCGATTGTCTGAGTAAAACTCATTCCAGTTGAAACGATAATTTTGTTTGAATAATCTACATAAATGATATGTTGACTAATTAATTTTGATAAAAAAATATTTTGAGTAGGAATTCGCTTATCTCAAAAGTAAGTCTTATGATATCTATATATTGTATAATATTATTTTATGGACGTTGAGTTTTATCAGTTCAATTATTAAATTAAATGTCCTCATTAAATTTACAAAATCTCGTACAATTTAAAAATGAGGTAGTTATAACTTTTTTTTTTACAACCTCTTACAACCATATCTTAACACCGTTGATTTCTGTCAATCAACGGTTATCATATTGTGAATTAATAATTAATTAATGAGTTTAATTTACGAAAATCATAACCGTTGATTAGCGAAAATCAACGGTGTTAAGATATGGTTGTAAGAGGTTGTAAAAAAAAAGTTGTAAATATAACTTACCTCTTTAAAAATTAGTTAATATATATAGTTAATACTTCATCACAAAACTTTACTTTAACATATATTTTTTAAAATACAAGTAAATGTAAATTATAAAATTACATACATACAAATGTCTAATTTATCTAAATTAAAATTCATGATCATTAAAATAACATTACATGATTTAACAGTTAAATTTGTGAAATTCTTTATTATTAAAAGTTATAACCGTACCAATGGGGTTGGCTCAAGTGGTAGGGTACTTGGGGTTCGCTTAAGCAAGGACTCGAGTTCAAGACATTGTGTATGCAGAAAATCTTCGCTGGAAGACTCACCTGCCAATGCTAAGTAATCTACCCAGAGCGGACATAGTCGAGAAGCTCCGGAAACCAGTGAAGCAATAAAATAAAAAATTATAACCGTTACAAAGTATGAAACAGTCCTAAAAATATGAAGAGAGCACCTTCTGCCCAAGTTTTCAAAAGAAAAAGCATAAAAACAGATCCAACAGTTTTGGCTGTGGATAATGGGAAAGCGGGTATAGCCTCTTTAGGAGATTTGGAAGAGGTGCATTTTAACAAGGCAACGGCGTTAAATATCTTTGAGATAGTTATAAAAGGGATGGATGGGATATCATCCCTTTAATCATCCGAGTTAGCAAAATTTGATTGTGGAGACAGGAAAAAGAGAGAGTACTGAGTACAGTGAGTACGTAATAAAAGTAAATGCGAAACCAATTGCAAGCAGTGAAAGCGAACTGAGATAGAGAAGTTGGGACACGATCGATGAGAAACCAATTACCATTCTAAGAAAAGAAATAAGATATTAATTGCATGCGGTTTGCATGTTTTCACTCAACCTCCTATTTGTACTCTGACTAGTGACCACTCTCATTCAGGATGATAGCTACATACATAGGTGTATCACTTCCTCCATACTTGCTATCAATAAACGAAGAAACTTAAAAATAATGCATCACGAATATATGTATATATATGTATATATATCAGAAGAGAGTACAGAATTTTAATGCGTTTTAAACTCACTCTCAAGCTTGGGCATGTCATCTGTAGAGTCGGACATGACTCTCGTGGAAGGTTACCGATCTCGTGCTGCCTTCTATTTATTTATGGGAAAATCTCAAAATTCTTGGCGATGATGCATGATCACCAACTTAATTTTTCATTCAACCTGCTGCTGGGAGTAAAACCTACATATATACAAGTAGTTGATCAACTTTTCATGGACCCCATGCGTTTAGAATATTACCAAGAGGAAGTTTCTTTATACTTTTCGTACAGCTTCTAATTACTTTCTTGAGACAGAGTCAGTCTTTTTTAAAGTTTTAACTCTTTGAGCTTATTTATTAAACTAATCTTGACACGAAATTTAATTATATTTAAAACTCTTGATCCCTTCTCCTCTCTTTAAATATGTATTTGATAGAAATCAAATCCAGACAGATTTTCTTTCCACTACTTAGGGGTGTATTGAATTAGGATTTTAAAAGACTTTTTTTTTTAGATAAAAAATATTATAGATTTTAAAAGACTATTTAGAATTGGAAAGACTTTTAAAAAAATTTAAAAGAATTTTTTTACAATCAAAATTTCATAAAATTGAATTTTAAAGAATTTTAATATAATTTATAAGATTTGAAAGGACAATAAGGATTATAAAATTTTAACAAATCATATGAATTTTTAACAAATATTCAAAATTACAAGAGTCAATAAAAAAATAACAAAGAAATGCAATGATATTAATAAAAAAAAGTAAAACCTAATATAATTTTCTCAATCAGTAAAACATAATATAATTTTTAACAAACATTCAAAATTTCTAAGCAACAGCTCTCCACATATCTAAAGTTATACTAGTCTCCACGCATTAGCATTTTCTCATTCGTGCTCTTAGGTTTGACCAATAGATTGAAATAATCTTCTTCATTTGGTATCAGAGTTATGCATATATGATTATAAAATCAAATTTTTTATTTATTAAAATAATTCTAAATTTGCATATAAAACCTAAAGTTCATGATAAAATTTTGTTTGAAACTTTTTGCAATTGATCTTGAAAATCTTGGGGGTTTTGTTCTACGTGATGAGAGTTTTCTAACCGTATATCATATGCATATTTTCATTTAGTATTCTAAGAAAATTTCGAATATAAATTTTTGGATTTTATTTCATCAAAATTCATAAAATTTCTTAAATTATTTTCTATCGATACATTGAAACCTTAAATTTCTTTGAGGTTTTTGAAAAATCAGTTTTTAGTTATCTATTGACACAAAAATTGTTTGAAATCGTTTCTAATAGCGAAGAAATTCCGTTCATGAATGTATTGTTACGAAATATAAGGTTCATATTATGAAAGTTTCAATCTTTCTTTAAATTGATATCTTTTCATTGATGTAAAATGAAAATTGATTTGAGGATTTTAGTTCCCCCTCTTATTTTTCCACTGTTTTATGTTATTCTTAATACAAAAATCACACATTTTTGTATTAAGAAAAATCGCGACTCGTAACTTGGAAAATCATTTTTTAAACTTTCAAAAGCTCCAAAAAATTGTTAAAAAATATGTTATTTTCGAGATGGATTATATTAGAATATTGTTGGTTTATTATTTTTGGGATGTTTTGCGATGAAAATTGCTCAAAAATCTACTATTTTTGAACTTTGACAAAGCTCCCATGGCGGAACTCTGGTCAACCCGCCAAAGAAAGAAGAAGACACTGCAATAGAAAAATCTCAAGAAATCCTAGGATTGTGTGAGATTGTGAGAAAGACATGTTATTTATATTTTTCCCTAAAAAGTCTCTTGAAATCCACACACTAGAATATCCATTAAAATCGTCATATTTTTGATACCACAATATTGTTTTTACTTTGTTTAAAATTCTGATTGAATACCAACAAATTTGGGCATACTCTAAAATAATTTTTTAAAATCTTAACCGAATACCACATGACATTTTTCAATCCTTTAAAATTCTAATTGAATACCAACAGATTTTTTGTCCAAAAATAATCATTAAAATCTTAATCTAATATACCTCCTTAATCCGTATTGCCAATTGAGTTACATCTGAGCAATTGAAAGATTACCCCATAACTTTTGATTGAGTGCTATTTGAGTAGAGCATATTCTAAACTCCTATTCATAACCAAGTATCGCACGGACGAATTTTGCTCTTTTTGCTTTTCCAGCATGCTATTATATACTTTTTCCTTTATTTTTGTTCGAATTTTGCTCGTAATTCTTTTCCAGCAAGTTGTCATGGGTTTAGTGTTTTTATTTCTCGTATTACTGAAGATAAATTTATCTCTTATATACACAAGTGTGTTGGTCCCATTTTTTCTCCTTTCACCTTTTTTCACGTGAGCCCCACACTTCTACTTTTGGGGAAAATGTTTATCATTTTAAATGACATAAAGTTATGTCATTTTAAGATAGAGATAGACACAAGAAAATATTTTTTTATTTAAAATTTAAATTAAAAAAAAAATCACTCACTTTCTCTCCCATGATTTCCATTCCTTGTGTCTATCTCTCTTATAAAATGACATAACTTGTGTTATTTAAAATGACAAACACCAAACCCCTTTACACATAGGAGATAAATTTATGTCCTACAATACAAAAAACAATAAACTCAGTTGTTATATACTTTCTCTTTTCTATTTTTGGTAACAAAAATAAATATATGACAGGAGCAAAAATATTAACTGACATTCATATGCAATGGAGTAATTATATATGGAGATACGGAGTTTTGTGCCCTCATGTAAGAAGGAACATGTCCGGAATTACCCTAATAAAGAAAATACAAACAGAACACTGCTTCCAACTCCAAGCATGCTTGTATGGGATGGATCCCTGTTAAGCAGAGAAGGCACAGTTGCAACCATGTAGCGTGAAGCTCCATTCAGTCGCGTCCTTGCCCAACCCCATGATGAGGTGAAATCTCTGCTTCCCAAAGTTTGCCTAATCAAGTCGTGTACATTTGGAAGCACCTAAATGCTATTTTGTTCATTCAGTTGTGAGAGATGGCCCCATAGTACACGGCTCCCTTTACCAAAATTCCAGTCCTTGATCTGCTTGCTGGTTGAATCTCTAGATCACTCCGCTCTGTACACAACCACAGATTCAAGAGTTAAACTGACGGAGGAAATGAAACTAATGACATCGTACGTGTCTGAATTATTATGAGAAGATCTTCTCAACCCGTCTTCTTCAAAACCAAGGCATCCACCATATATACATTTTTCCAAGATTCTTATGAGAGACTGCTTCAGCAATTAGTCTGCGAGCTTGACCTTCTACAGCAAGAGGCAATGACGGAGCAGCTCCAACACCAACCACCACTCCTTCTAACCTTGCCTCAATATTATTAATGGCTCGCTGATAAAATCCATAAAAAAATAATTATTATAAATTGCACTGTTCTTTTGCAAACCATGACCAAGAAAATAGGAAACGATTATCTACTTAAATGAATACAAAATAAGAAAAAGGCATATATATTGAATTTTTTTTTAAATATTTTAATCTAAATTATCCCCAAAAAATAAAGAACAAAAAGTCACTTTTACGATGCAGCTAATAAAGATAGAGCCCAAACTTGTGACACTTACACTACTAAAACAAAACTGAATACCAAACCTGTGCATGTGGATTCTGAACTTCTACACCACTGGACTTGTGAGATTTTGTCCATTCCACAAGAGGATCATGGATGAAAGTTTCAAGCACGCTCATAAGAGTCTCCCTGTGCGTCCTCAGTACAGAAAGTGTAATTTCACAAACCCGCAAGAAGACACCTTCATACCCAGTGATGCCTAAGCCATCAATCATGTTCTGTAGGTTTTATTGCAGAATCCACAAGAACCAAGATGCCAGCATTCGTTCATACAAATGAGCGTCAAAAATAATAAGCATCAAGTGTTTTAATGGATCATGAAGTATACAAAAAGTATTATCTTAATCAACAACATCACATTTATCCAAAACTAGGTAGGATGATAACCCATATAAAAGCAAGAAGAGATTAAGAAAAAATTATAAATATAATAAAAAATTGAAAAAAAAAATTAATGTTTTTTTTTTTGGTAGTTAAATTAATGGTTTTTAATTTACAGAGAGATATACCTTCATATTACATTTAAAAAAATTAAAAAGTGATGAAAATTGTTTCCGTATTACATACTTTCAAAATATAGCTAGCGAACAATCTGTAATAGCTTGGAGAAATAAGATATACACTAATTATTGCCAATGGTATCTGAGTCTCATCTGAAGAAAAAGAATAAAATTGTATATGCTGGAATCGCAAATATTTCCAATTATGTGCTTCTCTTACCTGGGTTAGCCTAAAAGGAACAAGCTCGGGCTTCTCCAACTGCAAGCCCTTATCAAATAAGCAACTGAAATCAACATGAACACAATCACCGCTGGTAGAATCAAAAAGAATATTTTCGCCATGCCGGTCACCCAGTCCAACAATATGACCAACCATGGACCAAACTGCAGTCGTGTGAGCATAAGCAACACGGGCCCTGAACCATGCAGCAGGCTCAGAAAATGTTGTCAAGAACCATTTGTGGAAAACGGGAGGAAACATTGGAAGGATTTTGTTCTTTAGCATCTCATCCTCTGGCATTTTACCTTGACATTGATCATAAATTCGTTTAATTTGAGGATTAGTTTTCTGTCTATCAAATTTTCCACAAGTAATATAGATGTCTTGAAGAATTTGTCGAAGTCCGCGAGTGTGGGGCACCCACTCTACCATGCCACAGTCCTCTGTTAGAGGAATCACAGCAAATGTGCGAATATAGAGCTTCCTTCGACGACTTTCAGGATATTTGGATAGCAATCGGTTAATCATTGCAGTAAACTCCATCATGCGGGCATCTTTGCGGAGATCATCCTTGGGTTTGCAAAGAAAAGGGTGCTCAAGGCCATCACTGCCAAGTAGAATGATCTGAAATACAAAGGCATTTATTAAAAAAAGATGGTGCATACAACATAGCTTAGCATAGATTATCCAAATAGTCTAACACGACAACAGACAACAATGGCATTCAGCTGGGTTCTACTGAAAACAAGTTTTTAGAACTACCCAGCATCTTTAGCAAATATTGTTTAATATGAAAAACTGATCACTCCATTAAGTCCAAAAAGGTCTGGGGGTCAGAATCAGCACTTTGATCTTTGCAAAGAGTTTGTAATATACGGCCACATTCATTTTATGGGATATCGTGTTTGGTATTGTGATCAATGGTTGTAATGTAACCCCTCAAAAAACTGATTCTCTTTTTCTGAAAGTTGAGTACTTCTATAGCCATGCATCATCCTAATCCATACAGCTCTTATCTCCAGCCACTCTTCCCTAATCAGAGACCACCTAATGCTGGTAGCAGGCCACATCCTCACTAGGGCCTAATTGACCCATCATGTTGGCCACTACCATAATAATCCTTCCTAATGGAATGTATTATCCTCTCTGATCATATATTCATTCTTCCATGAAATTTGTAAAACTTAAGGATAAATGCATGCATTAGGAGATCATTCCCTCCAATCATTAATTTACAATTGATGCTATGTAAATGATGTAATATATAATAAGCAGTACCAATAATGTCGTTTGATCTTATGAGTTATGATGCCTTCTCAATTAAAATTATATGGAAACCAAAAACAATGTTATTCCACACCATCGTGCAAACAAAGTGAACTGCCTACTCTTGAATCAAAAAAAAAAAAAAAACAGATTAAGGCATCTGTGAGGGAGAAAACCATTAACATACTTTCTTAGGCCGCTGAAGAGACGAAAGAATTTCAGCCTCATCAGCAATGCCTGATATAGTAGGAAGATCTGTGGCAGAAAAGATATTAGACATATGTGAATCACCCAGATTCCCATCATATGTTGGCAGATTAACAGTAAGAGATTGTTGAATTGGCATTATAATTCCCAGGGGCATCATCCTCTTAAGAGCACTAAATTCAGTTGAGATATTAATTGTCCTTGCTCTTGACTGACCAGCATGGAAGCACAACTTGATTAGATGATCAATCAGGCTAGCAAATTGAACAAACAAATTGTTCTCGTTACTTCCCAGGCTGAAACCTTTACGTGCAGCTTGTATGATTTCAGCTGCTGCTTCCCGCCTTGAAGGAACAGTGGATTTTGAAACTGCAGCCATAATCCATAGGCCCTGTTGTGGATACTGGCGGAGAACAGAGGTGATGATAAGTTTGACCAGTCGAACAATTTCTTCATTCTGGTGGCAAATTCTTGAAACCAATTGAGGCAGCACTGTCAACCAATGGTACGTTGGTAAATCCTTCAAACAGCCTCTCATAATACTCATTACCTACCAAAGTAAAAGACAAGAAAGCAAATAGTACAAGTGCAAAAGAAAAAATTCCCTGCATTGAAGACAAAGAAAACATACGAGAGAAGAAAGTTCTCTACCAACCTTCCCGTGTACATTCTTTAGGTCCTTGTTTGATGAACCACTTCTTTGATACATGCTCCCAAAGTCAAACCACAGGGTTAATAACCTTGGAAGTGCCTGAAATAGATTCTTGTGTCCCCTGTGAAGTCCCTTTGCATAGAATAACAGCACATCGGGAACATAGGACCACCAACGCCGCTCACCATTCAAGTTTGAAGAGCCAACAGCAGTTGCTGAAGAAACCAGTCTAGGACCAAGTTCAAAATTCTCCTCCTGGCGTTTCCTGGCATCACCAAGCACTTCATCACAATACTTGGCCATATAGAAGTATCCTTTCTCCCATTTGGGCTGCAGTTCCCTCACCCTGGTATAAAGACTTATTACATCTTCCTTCTGTTTCTGCCCAGTGTAATGAGTCCACCTGGAGTACAGAAGAAGCGTCTTTGCAATATCTATGTTCTCATTCAGAGCTTGACTTTCACAAACAATGGGCACAGGGTTAAGTGGTACGAGGGAAAGGCTAGTAATAGATGATATTGCAGCAGAGCCTAAAACCTCAACAGGCATGTTCAGGAGAGATTGTTGCAACACTGCAATGGCACCATCAGACCGCCTGGTGCTCCAGAGCAGTTTTGCTTTTTCCAAATGGACATTAGGTGCACCAGAGGCCTGAGCTTCTAAAATTGCTCTGTTGGCCGTTTCATTATGACCAGCCAAGCGACATAGCTTTGAATATTGAAGCCAGCAATTGCCAACTTGAGCACCAAGACCACTTGCACCAAAAACCAGTCTCCTGAAAGCCAAGAGTGGCTCCCTAGCCCAGAGTGATGACTGTGTAAACCTGAGTCGATTTTCCCAGTTGTCCACTAATTTAGAGAAAGCTAGATCACCTAAGTGAAATGATTTCTCTAAGAAAGAGTCATTACCCAGAAGAGAATGGAAGTCCTCCAATTCCCGTAGAAAGTGAAGCTTTACAACAAATGGGTAGGCCCGCATGTAAGAATCCATTCCTGCAGCCGCAAGGGGAGCAATTAGTGACTGCTTCGATAAAGCAATTTTCTCTGCAACTGAGAAGTGGTCCCTCTTCATCATTGCCTGGAGAATCTTCGCAACATTCAAGTCAAATGAAGCATTACTTTCAGAGCTACTACAAACTAAACCTTCTTCTTCAGCTCCACTAAGGTACTCATCCATCAAATCCCACCTACCAAGCCTCCAGGCTGCCTGCACACCTTGCATGCACCATGCTTTCTTGTACTTAGGAATCCTAGAAATTAAACCATCAACATGAGTGGCCATGGCCTGAAGGTGGCACATGTTTAGCAAACAATTAAGAACATCTGAATGCCTCTGAACTGAGGTTGGCTCCATCTGCAAAGCTTGTTCACAGGAAGTTAAAACATCAGCCCAATTCCCAGCCTTTTTGTTCATTAATAGCTGATCCTGTAACCTCAAACATTTACTTAAACATGACAAGCCAGATAGTCCATCTGGCTCATCCAAACAGCTGTATATTTGCATAAGATGGGAAACATCTTCATCCTCAAAGATGCCACTCCTCTCAGCAGCAGGGTTGAAAGCACCTGACTTTTCCCTCACGTAAGACTCAAAGTACATCAAAGACCTTGCATAAGCCTGACACCTAAAGGAAGCCCTAGCAAGAGTCTCCTTTGGAATCGCAGATAGAAGCTCTGAAACATATTTACACTGTATAAGGAGCTGGTCCTGATCTTTCAAAGAATTTGGACTTTGATCCTTCGATTTTTGTTGCTTAGAAACCAATGAGTGAGAAAGGGAAAGAGCAAGCTCTTGTTCAACATCATCCATCCATTGTCCAAGATTATCAAGAAGAGTAAACACCGATTGAATACAAACTTGACTTTGACCCCCGCTGAACCCATTAACTGAAACACCATTGTTCTCTGATGCAGCTGCGTCAAGAACAGATAGGATCTCTTCTGTTATGCTGTGACGTGCCTCCTCAGTACCATTACAGACGGCATTAAGAACCATGTAGGGAAGCAAATATATTGCCGTTTGCATATCATGGCGTACAATACCTCGACAAGCATTAAAGATGCTTGCACGAGATCCAGTAGCATGCACAGTCAGTTTTCTTATCCAAAAGAATATCCATCTTCTAAATGACATTGATGGGCGGTAAATAGGGCCAGTAGATGTTGAATCAGCCACTTTAGGAAGCTGAAACCTAGATGTTAAGCATGGGGCTATTATCTCCTTCACATAATTAGAGAATCGATCCCATAATTTCTGGCCCCTATTATTCATCCCATTACTACCATTAGTACTCTTAATCTCAGATGCAACATCTTTGCAATTATCTTCATCATTCTGTGCCTGTGATGTTGAAGTTGAAGCATTCCCATCCAGTGATGCCTCACAACCAGCAAACTTTAGCAGCTCCTGTATAGCCAACGCAGCAGAGTCTTGAATAACAGTATCAGGTGCGGATCTAAATGCCCGAGCTAGATGTTTGTGGATCAGCTCAAATATGAGGTCATCATCAGAGCATTGAATTTTGAAACGTTGACATGAAAAACCTTTTACTTTAGCAGGGTCAACGGCACCAAGGGCTCCAAGACAATCAGCACAGACTAACTTCAACCGCTGCCCAACTGTGGTCCTTGATTCTTCTGCACATCCTCTTAATAATGATGTGATCAAAGAACTCGAGACATCCAAATCTGAACCAGCTTCAGCAGTTATTAGAGCTGTAACATCCTTCCATCTCAAGTTCAGAAGCTTGCGAAGCTCACATACTACCATGTACCTCACATTTAAATTCTCATGATTTAAACCATCAACTACATCTCGCAGTTGATCCTTCAAAGTCATTGACCCACGAGCACCCTCAATTGCTTTGTTCACTTCAGTCAAAGCAGGTATGCTGGGCAGCGGGGGGAACTCACATATATGCTGGTTTAGGATAACCCTGTTCTTAAAAACAAGTTCTTCTAAAATTTTTACCACTTGGTGCAAATGTGTTGAGGGATTTTCTTTGTCTCTCTCCAAAAAGGGGAGAAGGGAAGCAAAAACTTGAGAAATTATATGTTTAATGCTAGATGGCGATACTTCAGCCAATTGCTTTATGAAAAAATACAAGACAGACAGACCATCCTTTTGCAGTGATTTTTTATCTATGGCATGCATGAGAAGAACCATCAATTTAGGCACATAAGTATTAAGATGAGAACCCATCATTCTAATCAGCATCTCTATACGGTTCAATGCTTGTCTCTGAAGCACAAAATCATCAGCATGAAGCATTTTTCTGTCTATACTGTTAAGAAGGTGAACAAAATGATTCCTCAAAAAACCTGGAAGATCTTCCCCGCCAGTGAGAACTTTAGCAATGCCTTTAATCATCTGAGGCACTCTTGCTAATCTGTCAACAGATAGAAGAACAATCAGTAAAGGACACATAAAATTCATGTACTCTTAATCAATGCCGAACCCAAGATTTTTTATGATGGGTGTCCCAAAATAAATGATATTATATTATAAATAAAAATACTCAGCAATACAATATGGACCTAACACTATAAGTTTGAAAGAATTTTATTACAGAAATCAAAATCACTTCACTTAACTCTTGCTCTACGTTTTTTTATATTGTTAATGTTAATCTCTTCTATAATTGAACCTTTGCTAAAAAACACAAAACAATATCCTTTTCAATGTATTCAATCAAAGAATCATCAAGAAATTGGTCTTTCATTCTATTCCGAAGTCTGTTCTTGATTAAGTTTCCAAGACAAATGCATATAAATTCCAAATATTAATATCCCGGTTTGAAAATTTCCAAGCACGACATAATTGACAAATTCCATCTAGGAAACAGATTAAAATCAAGTTTCAGAAATCCACTCAAGTTACCTTCTATTTGTCTCATCTGAGTCACCACCATCTGTAAAGCATACAAGTTCATCTAGAAGATCTGGTAATGCAGCTGCAAATATTTCCTGCTTGTCAGAACCAATCTGCGCATGGTAAAACTGCACAGCAGAAAGTAACTGTCGGTCATCTGTTTGATGAAGAGCAAAAGCAAGCACTTTTGGCAGCCAGTTAATTATCAGAGACACCATATCAGTGTTCAAACACTTGGCCAACTCATATAAGGTGTCAACTGCTTGACTATTATCCTGCTGAGACACCACAAGCTTTGGGAGAACAAATGGAATCATTTTCTTGACAAGTTCTCCAGTCTCAACACCAAAAGCAGCTTCTGCGAACTCCCTAACTAAGACTGGGCGGCTGGCAAGTCTCTCACAGAGATAATCATATAGTTCATTACGAATATGAGCACCTTTAGAAAGAATTAGCTCCAGACCTCCTTTAAGATGGAAATAACAAGATTTGTGAATTAACCTTGATGCATTCATTCTTACAGTCACATGTATGCTATCAAGCTGATCAACCAACAGTATAAGAGAACATAAGAACAGTTTGCTATCTATATCAACAGCAACCATTATTTCTGCTGCACATTCCATTATACTCTCTAATATATGTGGACTATCAGCTACTGTCATGGCATGTTTAATTGTATCCAATAATTTTTGCTCCTTACATTTGTCAGTTTCTCCAGCAAAAATTAAACCAAAAACATGATCATCCACAAAGGAACTAATCTGACTGCAAAATGCTTCTCTTAATTCTTTGCTCCTGCTAGTCAGAAGAAATTCTACACATTTTATCCACTCAAATCTTGTTTTGAGCAGAATATCAGAGTCTCCATGACCAAGGATCCGATGAATAACTCTCACACAGGAAATTTGGACATCTGATGACTCATCAAAAATAAGTTCAAAAAATAAAGACTGCAATTGAATGAAATTACATTCCAAACTAACATCTGCATCTGCTCCATGCATATCACATCGATGAATGATTAGAGGTTGCTGCTCATCATGATTACAAATAAAATTTCTGTCACACTTTGAACAGCTGAAACCTTGCAGTAAATTATCTACCGTCCAACATTTTCTTCCACTCTTATCGTTTAGAAATAATTTGCATGCATTTATATGTACACTAGATACAGCTCTTCTGCATCCATAAAGGCATGACAATAGGCCAAGAGAAATGGGAACAAACTTCTTGACCTTCTCATTATCTCTCTTTAAGTACCTGCGTATTGGATGGGTAAAAGTAAACAACCATAAGATACAACTTTTATCCATGCACTTCGATCAATGTGATGGGCAAATCAAACAAACAAACAAATACACGATGGCCAAAAAACTGCTTAAGAACAAGGAACAGCTGTGATTAATTTGGATCCGGGAACATTGTTGAAAACCAAATCAAACATTCTTGTTAAAAATATGAAATATAAAAGGGACAACTCACTTAAAGGAATAAGATTTTACCATTTGAACTATCATGGATCATAAATTGAATCCAACTGGACTAAATAACATTGAAAAGCAAGTTCCATATATATGTGTGTGATAATTTTTGAAACATCTTGAGAAGCATGTTTACTTTTCAGAAAATCCATCCTAGGATATAGAACCAACAGTTCAAAAGAAAGAGAAATATTCAAGCATGGATATATTCTTTTAATCAGCTCATGCAATTCAGACTGTGAAACTAATAAATGGGGAACTTCATGTTAATCATACGCCTATATTCGAACTAACCAATTGGGAAGTCTGAACAAACATGTTATTTAATTCATGTATGAGAAAACATCTAAACAGGTTACTTACTCCATCCTTTTAAAGACAGGAGATAATACATCGAGACCAGACCACAAAACCATCACTGGCATAGAAATGGCAGCTTCAGTTCTGACTTCATCAGCTTCATCATGAAGACCCAAATCTAAAACTTCAAGAACAGCTTCGCTGTTCAAGCTTGGGCCTAGCTTGGATACTACTTGAAGAGAAAGGCATTTCGCTTTCCATGGACAATGATTATCAATACCAAGAAGCGTATGAGTCCAGGGAAGTTTAAGCACTAAAAGCATAAGGTTTGCATGGTAATTCTCATCTTGCAATGGGTTGTTCTCTTTGAAAGAGGCACCTGATTGAGTAGTCACAAGCGATAAAGTCAGAAGCACGAAATAGCAGACACCACAAACATGAAGTACAAGTAAATTAATATAGAGAAAAATCACCGGGTTTTGTTGCTTATCATCATTCTAAACTCCTAGAAGAACCTAACATTCAACCCTCGCCTAATATACAGAAAGGAAAGAAGAGAGGATTGTGCCAAAAACCTAGAATGCTACTAGCAACAAGATATTTAGAAATCAAACAATATTTGAAAAGAGCCATAATTGGCAATGGAAGACTTAGCCTCTCAATATTAACATACACAATGGATAAGAACTACATATGCGATATATTATTTGAAACAACAAGCTACTCTATTTCCAAATCGTTATGGTTTTCTGTTGAATAAATTAGTGACATTAGGTGAGCAAGGCTAATGAGGACTGCTTGTTTATCAAAAACTATACCATCCGAAATTCACGGAATCCAATTTCTACCATTAATAGAATGGTTAGAATGCCAACAGTCATTATAATTCAGTCACCATAAAAAATAGGGAAAAATGTTTCTGCAGTTAATGCAGATAAGTTATCTGCATTTATTCCCAAAACGACATCGTTTTGGTATTGAAATCTTAAAAAATTATAAATATAAAAACTATTATAACCCTGAAATAAATTAAAATTACAAAAACACCATGATTTCCGCCCAAAACGACGTCGTATTGGGCTTACTGCAGATAACTTATCTGCAGTAACTGCAGAAAAAACGAACCCTAAAAAATAATAATAATAATAATAATAATAATAATAATTCAGAGGTAAAGTAATGTAATTACCTAGAATGAAGAATAACTTTTTATCATTAGAAAAAAGTAGAAGTTAATTGACGGTATCAATGAAGTTAAAGTCCAAAGCTTACTTCGTGAAAGCAATACACTGTGAATTCCTTCCAGGTAGGTGGAAACATCTACAGTAATCGAATTTCCTTGTTTTCCCTATAAAAACAGACAACTTAGTTTATTGAAAAAGAAACAAATTATACAACAGGAATTTGCAACTGTAGCCTACCTACCTGTTCAGCTATCCAAGGAAGCCATGCAAGCATCTGCTGGAAGATTCTGAGAGACAGATCGGTCTCTGGATAAATAGAGAAGGCAATGCACAGCATGCTAAGTGCAGATAAAGCAATATCTGGTCTTAAATAACCAGGTCTGATAGTAGGAGCATTTAATGATTGAACAAATGAAAGAAGAGACTTATTCATATGGTTAGCATAATCTTCTACTCTTTGGCAAGCAACTATACAACTATATTTGCATTCCATCTCAAGACTGGCATCTGCAACAACAGTTTCTTCATTTAATTTTTGCCTCTTGATCTTCAAATTATCCATATCCTGAATAGGCCTCTTTTGGCCAAGCCTCAAGCTTTCAATTGACGTATCTTCATATGCCAAAGTCTTCTTGTTTCCTTGGATTCCCCCAACAAGACACGGACCAAGAGTAGAAAGAGCTACCTGAAAGCACTCTATTAAAGGCAAGAATGGTTCTGAATGATAGAGAGCATATATGAGATATTCTGGCTGCCAGATATGAGGGGGGCAAACTTGAGCAATCCGAGCATAGGCACTGCATAGTGCAACCTGAAAAAGAATACTATTAGATCCTCTTGAACAATCCACCGTCTTGAATCTATCAGCTTCCAGAAAAATGAAAAAGATGAATAGATACCTAGTTAACTAAGCTGTTCTAATGAAATACAAGTATCAATATTAACCTTCAGTTCCTGGCTTTTGGTTCTCCACATCGATTGGAGGAATACACTGACTAAATCAGCAGCTGTTAATTTGATAATATCTTCTGGACAGCTAGAGTAGAGTGCATTGAGGCAAATACCCATGGATGAATCATAAGCCATGTTTCTGCAGGTGACCTTCATCTTAATATTGTAAATAAAAAAAATATTTTTATTTACTTACTCTGTCTTGTAAACTTCAACCTTTTTTTTTTTCCAAAAGTCATCTAACTTCAAATATAACGCACAAAAAGTAGCAATTTAATCAAAATTGGAAGCAGACAGAATTCTATAAGAAAATCACCACAGTTACTATTAAATCCCAATCATATGAAAATTAAAAAAATTAAAAAAAAAAAAAAAAAAAAAGCAAGCAATATATTTGAACCTGAAAACAGGAAGCCCCTCCTTGTGAAAATTCAAGATAGTAGATATTGACCGGATTAAATTCTGATAAGGAATGATATCATAGTTTGTCACCGTTGCAATGATGTGTACAAAGTCAAAGCATGCCTTCCAGAAAGAAAGAAATTGTCAGACAATTTGTATATTTTTTTTCTGATAATACAAGTAAAACTTGGCCAAAAAAAACTTGGAATTCCAATTTTTCATGAACCATTAATACGCACCATATGCAGATCGGCATCCCCATAGCATATAAGAGAACATGCGGCAGAGACAAACGATGCATGGATCAATCCTTCAACATGAAGTGTTCCTTCAGTTAGACATTTGCCGAGAAGCTTCAAAATCCAAGTTGCAAAAGGTTGCCATCTGCTTCGACCACTGAGGTCAATCAACAAACCACATCCATCAACAGGTTTGTTCGTTGATGGAAGATCTCCAATTCCAGAAAAGGATTCAGAAAAACACTTGATAGTAGCCTTAGAGTATCCATCGAGTGAAGCCACGTACGAAACATCTGTGAAAGCAATGATCATATATATTACAAACAAGAGAAAGAGAAAGAGAAAGAGCAATTAACGAAGATGATGTTAAGTAAGTAAATAGAACCTTGAATGAGTAAAATGGAATCAACAAAGAACTGTCTGTAAGCATCTCGTGCTCCGGATCGAAGCAATGATAAAAGCGAAGCGAGTGTTTCGAAGAAAACTCCATGACGAGAACGAAAAATAGGTTCTGCGAAGAAAGGGAGTAAGCGAGCGAGGATTGGTAAAATAGCGGAGGGTTTGCCATGGTAAAACACTCGAGGGAAGTTTCTAGCGGTGTGAGAGATGAGCTTAACCACAGCAATCACTTCTCTCTCATTTGCGGAGGAAGAAGGGACCACATAAGCGTGTAGAAGATTCGGAAGAACGTTTCGGAACCTGACCTCCAAAGCGTCGTCGTCTGAGGGAGTAAGAGTGGAAGTGGAAGTGGAAGTTGACGATGATGACGCTATGCGTTCTCGTAGTTCACGCAATAGGCTCGATAGGTTTGCATTTCCCATCCTCTCTTCTTCTCTTTATTTACTTTCTTTCATTCCTTATTTTCTTCCCTCCCAAAATGCTGTCACTGTTACCGTTCAATTTCATTTCTCTCTCTCTCGCTCTCTTTCTTTCTTCCCTCCCTCCCTCCTAATAATGAATCTGTGTGTTTTTCACTGCTTCTTTTATTATGAATGCATAAATGAGAGTGAAATTCTGACTGAAGGAGGAAAAATACTGGACCTTAAAAAACAAAATAAAATAAAATAAAACGGACTTCAAAAAATCCGTGTAGCCTAGTTTGGGCCAAATAACCTCAAAAAGGAGATGAGCAAGCAAAATAAAAAATATATACATGTTTTTTTTAAAAATATTGGATACTTTATATAAAAAAATTACAAGTGAATGTCAGACCTAAAAAAGTTAAGCCTACCAAATGAGCCAACCTCTTATTTATCAGACTCGACATTGCCCTACCTCACTAGCGATTTTGTGATTTTTTAAATTTATGTTGGGTAGGATTGTATAAAACGGAAGACAGATGAGATGACTGTCAAGTAATTTTCCTTTTTTTATTTTTTTTTTAATTCTGCGGTTACTGGTTAATCACACATTGACACAATCCCCTAATATTCCCACTTCGGTGATATTAAGAGACGTTTGGTATAAGGTATTTTTGTAGGATTATGGAAAAATTAAATTTTTCTAAATTTTTAATTTTTCGATATTATCATAAATCGAATGTTTTCTCATATTTCTGAAAATTAAAATTTTCAGATAAAATTAAAATCTAAGATTTTTTGAATTGAATGGACTTGTAAAAAAAAATTCAGAAGTATTTTTTACAAAAAAATTAAAGTTACTTAGATTTTAAAAATAAATATTTGATTTTTCAAAAAAAAAAATTGACTTTTAATTTTTACTTTTAAAAAAACTAAAAAATTTAACTTCCAGAAAATAAAGTTTTTGATTTTTTTTTTTTTTTGTTACTTATTCTCCAAACAACTTTGTAGTAGATTTTCCCCAAATTTTAAATTTAAAAATGTGAATTGATAAGAATATGCAATTAGAGATTGGTTAGCTTCTTTATGTTAAGACAAGATAGAAATTTGAGATTCAATATGGTGGACTAATACTAACCATTATCAAACTAATCTACAATAAGAATCCAAAGAACTCTCTTTATACAATCATCCTACCCTACCTGCTAAATAGTCACAATTTGTAGCAGCAGATAATGCCAACATGAGATGAGACAGGCTAATTAATAATTACATTACATGGATTTCGTTCGTTGTACTCAATTTGGGACAGTAGTCCAACTAGGTGGAAGCCGGTCAGAAGTGGTAGGAACACCTCTAACGTTAATGTCAAGTGGCATGAGACGGTAATTCATGTCAATCTCCCGGAAAATCTTGATCATCTCTTCAATCAAAAGGGATCTCCTCACAAATCTTTCTCCCATGTCTTGGAAGTTCATTCTATGAGTTGGCCAAATCGCCATTCTCACCATGTTTAATTGGTCATGATCCTTGAAGACTATAAAAGGTGAAGGATACCAATGCTCCTTCTTGTTATCAATGTAACTGCATTCAAGTGATTAGCAGTTTCAGCTAATTAGATATACTACACCAACAAGCATGCAATGCAACAACACAAAGAGGAGACAGTTTTTCACCACATACCTCTGTATTTTGTGTTTCATGAGTGAAATCTTTTCAACTGGGGTAGATACATGTATACAGAATTCGATAGCATCTCCCATGTCAGGACTCCGGTAGAAATTATATATGGCCTTAGTAGCGAGGACACTGTTAGGTATCATAATCTTTTGATTATCGAATCTTAGAAATATGGTTGTCAATATGTTCATTTCTTCTACAACCATCTGAAATTAGTTAGCAAAAATAAAAATAAATAAAATTAGGCCCTGCCTGTTTGCATGAAAACAGAATCTGTACACACAGTAATAGACTATAGAGATAAACATTACCTGGACCCCGTCAATTTCGCATCTATCTCCCACATCAAATGGGTGCATGACAAATAAGAAAACAATTGCTTCAAATACGGTCTTGCAGGTGTTTCCAAATATAAATGCAACCAAGACAAGCTGTGAGCTCACAAAGAGAAGAAATTTGGTGGTGGCAATTTCCAATATCAAGAGCCAAATAACCAGTATAATAATGGCAACTAAAATATTGAGCATTCGATGAAGTTTGTTCACTGCCGTTTTAGTGTCATTCAATGTCAAAGCAAGTGCTCTCCTCTCCCTGAATGCATTGACCTGGATAATTAAATACATTATAATGCTGAAAATATCAATGGAAACCAGGAACCGATAAAATATTGACTCTGGCTCTATGCAAATTTTATTCATAACTTAAGATCTTTCATGGCATGCGAGCAGAAGAAGAATGAAAAGGACAACAGTAAGTTATATTAGATGCAATCAGTCTTTTCTGCACTAGTGTGCCGTTAGGTAGCTGAGATAGACAGGTTCAAAGAAGTGAATTGGCTTACAACCCTTCCAACTGAGCTTTGGTAACATAACAAATTAATACTATGGGTTAAAGTTTAAATTAAGTAGATAATGTCATAGAACCATATTGAGAGATGTGATGAAAACATCAAGCAAACGCTATCCGGTTTTACTTCTAAACGTAAATAATATTCCATCAGACAACCAATAGAAAAATGACTCGTATAGGTAACTACATGGTTTAGATACTAAAGTAAATATGTCAATCTAGTTCTTCAAATTATGCTTCATATATGTTAGTTATTTCTTACCACCCAGTTCTTCAAGGCTGATTTGCTGATTTTCCCAGAATCAGAAGCTCCTTCAAAGAGATTCATGGTTTTTGCAGCTTCATCTTCTCGCATAAAACGCATCAAGTCCTCCGGGAAAATATACCTGCAAAAAAGCAAGCAATAAGATGACTGAAAGAAAGGTATATAATAAACTATGGAATATTGAATCAAAGATCAGGACAAGATGTCATAGTCAACACTTTCTTTATTGGTCATCACTAAACACCCAATTAACAATGCCTCATCCGAGAGAGAGTTACAGTAGCACTTATTAAGGCAAAGATAATGCGAAATAGAGGCTCCAGTGAGAACAAAGCATCAAAAGGAAAATATTCCAACTAAAAGGGTAGAGGAAGACCAAAGAAGAAAGCATTAGTAAAAACCATTAAAAGAAATATGATAGTAGAAATTTTGGTTTTTGATACAGCCCAATAGTGTTCACCCGTCCGCATATCAAACCCTGCCTGTAGGGATAAGTTCTTCTTGTATGTTTGGGAAGGTAACTATAATACTAGAAAACAAGATTCATGTCTTCAACACCAGACTATATAAGATTCATGTTAAGCAAAACACATTATGGAAACCCTTGAAGTCAATAAAGAGGTGTGTGAATCAAAGTTCTGAAGAATATCAAAATTCCACTAGGTGATAAATTCGTACCTAAGAGAAAGAAATAGGAGTGTAAAAACCATAACAGAAACTAAGACAAAAGATAAAAGATTGGAAATGCATAAGTTAATGGATAACCTGCAGCCGCGCCTAGCAACATTTTGAAATATTTTCTTTGCTGCTGCTTTAGCCTCATTTTCACTTCTAATTTGCGTGGCATTCTCATCATCATTAGTTGAGTCAAGTATCTGTTCATCCAATGTAGAAAGGGCGCCATGCCGGACCATATTCATTAACCTTTTCATATTCCAGGCAGAGACATTATTTGGATTCAGCTTATGCAGGTCATCAATACTTATCCCATTCCCATCATCTGACTTCTTGGAAAGTGGCCGTGAAAACTTGCTACTCTTTGCTCTGGGGCTTTTCGGGAGCATTCCACTCCTCAACCTCCCACTCTTGAGAGTAGGGAAGGCAGTTGCTCTAAGGTCAGGGGGTATGGTAACCCCAGCATTCTGCAGCTTCTGAACCTCATCAGCAAGCCTTTCCTCCTCTTCTTCAGCCTTTTGAAGTTCTATCGAAGGTGGCCCCGAAAGTGTTTCAATTACAAATTGATTAAACAGTGACTCTTGAATCCTATCAAAGTAGGTGCTTACATGGAATGAAGAAGCCAGAACCTTAACCGCAAGAGTTTTCAGCAACCACACCAAAGTACCAATCAAGAAACAGACCAAGACCTTAGTGACATATTGCAGGAAATCACTGTTAGTCTCCCTCTGAACTCTCTTATCAAACAAAAAATGCCAAGCAATCAAAACAAGGCCCAACCATAGACAATTTTGAACTGCTTTCTTCACACCATACACAAAATAGAGCACCCTCTTCCTCAAAAGGAAATTCCTTTCAATGCAGAACACAGCAATCCTTATCACCCAATCAGAAACCAACCGACCACAAATAAGAACCAGAATCATCACCTCCCATTTCCACAACTTAAGCTGCCAGAGATTCTTGTCCCTCAGAATTGAAACACTGAGCGTGGTTATCAGTGCACCAATGATCAAAATCAAACTCAACCACTCAAGCAGAATCCAGAAGCTAAAATGGGTCTTCTTATACTCATCAGGAATATCATCTTCCAAAAACGGATCATCTTCCTCATCATCACCCTTTTTACCACCCAGAAACCCGGAAAAAAGCTGACCGGATTTAGGGACCCGACCCGATCTCCTGTCGGGTTCCTCAGGCGGGTCCATCAATCTGGACCTGGTTTTGGTCTTCAACAAAATGGACTTCCTCTGCATCGAAAGGTTCCTTTCAAATGAAGCGTTCGAGGTACACGTCAAAACCTCGGCATCACCATTATGAGCCGGAGACGGAGACCGACGACGGTCGTGATGCGGCGGTTGCGGAGGCCTTTGAAAATCTCCGAGCGACGGCGAGTCCTTGCTGTGCCTTCTTCTAACAGGAGTATCGTTCGCCACCTCGACCACATTGGAAGCGGGTTCCTCGAACGAGACCTTGAGCTCCTTCGACATCCGGTAGGTCATCGGAGACTCCTCCACCGGCGTCAACTTCTCCTCGCCGTCACCGTCGCCGTCGCCGTCTCCTTCGCCGTCGTTCTGGAGCTCCTCCATTTCCAAATCCATGTCCAGCGACATATCGCCGGAAGCCTGCTGCTTGTGTAAAAACTTTCGAATCAGCTTCGACGGCGGGTCCTCCGTCTGACCCTTTTGCCGGAAATCAAAACTCTCATCGCGAGCATTGTCACCGGCGGTGCCGTCCTTCTGCCAGAAATCATAGCTGGACTCCCTCCAAATCTTGCTTCCCTGAGCGGGTTCTCCCTCATCAATCTTCACGACAACATCATCTCCGGCCATCAGATAAGGGTGGCGGGTTTCTTGATCTCGGAGGATTGGAAGCTGCTCGTGCTCGGAATCTGGGTTTCCGTTTACGGAAAACCTTCTGGAGTATTTGTTGTAAGAACCATAAGATTTCAAAGTTTTCTTTATAGATTGCATCAAGAAGCTCAGGAGAAATAAATGTTTTTAGATTACAATAATAAAAATTAAAATGGGAGTGGGGGAGTGAGTATTTGGTGACCAGAAAATTATTTTTTTAAAAAAAATAAAAAATAAAAAAATAATGGCTTTTTGAGTTTTGAGAATTTGGGATGGAAAGGGTCTTTCTCGGACAATGCGCTGACGCGTGTACTGTGGATCAGACCAGAGAAAGAGAAAAGGAGGATGCAAATGCTCTTGATGTTGAATGCTGATGACGAGAATAATGTTTTAAATTGATTGCTTCATGGGACAAGAGTTGTGTTGTTTGTTATAGTTTGTGTGTACTTGTGTTGTTGTTGTTGTTGTTTGTTGCTGTTATTGTAATACCGTGGTCCTTCTCCAACAGCCGCGTAATGGACGTCCAATCTGCGGGGTGCTCGATGCTATTATTAATTTATTATAATGCATGGCCATGTGCTAACAGTGCTGTTAGGCTTGGAGTTCATTTTTTGTTTTTTTTTAAGGAAAAAAATATACCAGAAATTAAGTAACAAAACTAAAATCTGTTATCATATTTTACACAGAATTTAATTTAATCTCTTCAATTTAAAATCAATGAAACATACCCTTCGGTTTCCAGAACTAAATTCATATTTGTTTCTATCAACTTTTTATACATATATTTTAAAATTCACTTATTTTTAATTTGTCTAACTCGGTTCAAAACTTAACAATATTATTTTGCAGTTAATAAATATTATTTTATTGACTTAAATTAATATAAATTATCTTAAATAATAATATATTTTATAATGTTTATCTTAAATTAATATATTTTATAAATCGTTAGTTAAAACATATAAATGTTTATAAATATGTTAGTGCATGTTTTTATTTGATTGTTGTTTTAGAAAACAGTTTTTATCATAAAATGTTTTTACTTTTTGGCAATATGTTTGGGTTGTTAAATTAAAATTAAGTCATTGTTTACACTGAAAATAATTTTTTTTTCTTTCAAAAAACTATAATTTGAACTTGCTCACAATTTGTTGTGATTATTTATCAATTATGGAAAATAAGATTGTTGAATCGCAATGTGTATCGTGTATCGTTTGATCGATTTTTTATATCTTGTATCATGAATCGTATCAAATTATAAAATACATAAACATAATAAAAAAAATTAAAATATATATGTTAAAAAATTATCTAATTATTTCTTTTATTAATATAGATTTTTTAGATTAATTTTTTAATTTAAATCACAAATCAAATCATTATTTTCTTTTTCTTATTAATAATAATTTTTTAGATCTTTTAATTTAAATTATAAATCAAATCTTTATTTTTTTATTAAAAATAAAAAAATTGATTTAATTTTCATATTATATGATACAAGATATATATCATATCATATAATATAGTATCATCTGATACAAATCTCTTTTCGATAAACCGAGCGAGACATATCTTTGCACTTATGAATCATATTATATCATACGATACTGATAATTATGGTGAAAAATAAATATTATTTTTCCATCAAACAAATAACCTTTTAATCATTTAGTATATTTTTTGTATAAAGCGATTCTTTTTTATCAAGTATTAATAAAATCATTTTTTTTCTTTAATTAGATTATGAATTAACATAATTAAACAGTAAGGGATTTTTCGTAATCAAATTTTTAGTTATATTGTCATTTAATTTAAGAAAAATATATTTTTCATATCATATGAGACAAATTATCTTATACTATATACTAAAAAATAGGTAAAACTTCTTTTATTTTTTCTTTTTATTTCTCTTTAATAGGTTATAGTATTTATTCACTTTTTTATATGTTACGTGATACAAATTATTTCACCAGAAATATATTTGCTAGTTTAAATGCAAATTGTACAATTTGAATCATCCTGGGCCCACTTCAACACGTCAATTTGGTACCATTACAAAGTACAGCTAGAATCTGATAAGTGACAATCACATTAAGAACTAAGATGAGAAGCTTTTTCCAAAATTAAAATAAAAAATGCATAGCTAACGTGGGAAACTTGTATTACGGTTTAAACGATAAAATTGGCTTCGCTTAGATCATAAAAGTAGTACAAGTAAAGAAGCACAAACAAAACAAAACAAAACGGATAAGCTAAGGATGAAAAAGGTGAAAATAAAGACAAGGGAAAAGCAGGAGAGGTAATAACGTACGGCAAAAATTAATTCACATGGTATACGATGAATGAGAAATGCCACAGATATTCTTTAACAGAGTCGATTCTACTCGGAGCAGATATTGAATATATATTTTTACCCTCATTTATTTAGCTTTTATAAACCAATTGAGTTATCATCGTTTAGTAAAGTATAAAGGTCTAATTAAAGATATGTATGTCCAATCTATGGGTTGTTCGATACTATTATTATAATAGATGTCCATGTGCTATTAGGTTTGGACTTTGAAGTTCATTTATTTATTTATTTTAAGAAGAAAAAATATACCAAAAGTTAAGTATCAAAACCAAAATTTGTTATCATATTTTTTCACACAATCTAATTTAATCTATCTCTTCAATTTAAAATCAATGAAACATACCAATTTCCAGAACTAATTCAAATTTGTTTCTATCAACTTTTTTATACATAGATCAAAGCTATGAGTGCTCAAAACTCACCACATTTTATTATTATTTTGGTAATCTACTCCCTACATTTTTAATTTGTCTAAACTCAGTTCAAAATTACACATTATTTTAAAGCTTATAACTATCTTTTTGCAGTTAATAAACATTATTTTATTGTTTTTAAATAATAGTATATTTATACTGATAGTTTATTTGTATAATGTTTATCTTAAATTAATATATTTTATAAGTCGTTAGTTAAAACATATAAATATGTTAGTGCATGTTTCTATTTAATTATTATTTTAGAAAACAGTTTTTTATCATAAAATGTTTTTAGTTTTTGGCAATATGTTTGGGTTGTTAAATTAAAATTAAGTAATTGTTTACACCGAAAATGATTTCTTTTTCAAAAAGCTATAATTTGAACATCTTGCTCACAATTTGTTGTGATTATTTATCTACAGTGAAAAATAAGGTTGTTAAATCACAATATGTATCATGTATCTTGACTGATTTTTTGTATCATGAATAGTATCGAATTGTAAGGTACAAAAATATAATAAAAAATAATTTTAAATATATATATTAAAATATTTATTTAGCTATTTCCTTTATTAATACATATTTTTTAGATTAATTTTTTAATTTAAATCACAAATCAATTTTTTCAGATTTTTTAAATTTAAATCATGAATAAAATATTTATTTATTTTTTATATTAAAAATTATAAATATTGATTTGATTTTCATATCGTATAATACACGATATATATCGTATCGTACAATACATTATCATATTATTTGATACAAACCCTTTTTCGATACACATTGTTGTACTTGTGAATCATATATATCTTGTTGTACGATACTCATAACTATGGTGAAAAATGAACACTATTTTCCCATCAAACAAATAACCTTTTAATCATTTAATATATTTTTGGTATAAAGTGATTCCTTTTTATCAAGTATTAATAAATCATTTTTTTGTTGAATTAGATTATGAATTAACATAATTAAATAGTAACGGATTTTCTCATAATCAAATTTTTAACTATATTGTACGTTTAATTTAAGGGAAATATATTTCCCATATTATATGAAACAAATTTTTTTATGCAACGCATAAAAAAAAATAGGTGAAATTCATTTTTTTCTCTCTCTTTTAATGGTTCAACTCAATTTTTTTTTATATTACATGATACAATTTATCTCACAGAAACATATTCTCCTAAGTTTAAATGCACATTTGTTTTTACCAAAATAAAAATAAAAATGCACATTTGTAAGTTGTAACTGTAAATTATACAATTTGAATCATCCGCAGGCCCACTTCAACACGTCAATTTGCTACCATTACCAAGTACAGCTAGAATCTGCTAAGTGACAATCACATTAAGAAGTCCCCCCCAACACACACAGTCACACACACACAGAGAAAATAAAAGCGCATAGCTAACATGGGTAACTTGTATTACGGTTTAAACGATAAAATTGGCTTCGCTTAGATCATAAAAGTAGTACAAGTAAAGAAGCACAAAACGTACGGCATGAAAATAGGATTAAGGTGAAAATAAAGACAAGGGAAAAGCAGGAGAGGTAATAACGTACGGCAAAAATTAATTCACATGGTATACGATGAATGGGAAATGGTGTTCTTCTTTTTTCATTTGTTTTGAAGGAATAACAGTTTTCAAAGGGTGGAGGTTTTTTAAAAAAAAATAAAAAAAAAAATCATAGTTATTCTTTACGTGAAGTAGGTTTTTTGGGATGAAAATAGGATTAAGGTTTTAAATTTTTTCAAAAAATAATACAAAGATCGAAGATATATTTTCATCTTAATAAGATCTTATACGCTAATTGAATTACCGTGTAAAGCGTTGAGATGTAATTAAAGATATGAATAAATTGTTTAGTTATCAGCAGCAGCATGCGTATCAAGATGATCACGAGTAGGTTTCTTTTCGGGTCAATGATGCTGACAGACAAATCACAAATGAGGAGGTGTCCGTGTCTCTTTTTCCCGTCATTATCGCCTGCAGTGTTCTCTTTCCTTATTTCCCACCTGACCTACCATTATTTCTTGTTTTTATTAATTTATAATTTCATCCTACAGCTGTAATGCAAGTATCTAAGTTAATGGAATAAATAAAATTCATGACATTAAAAGGAATCATTATACATGTGACTGAGTTAAAATATAAGATTACATAATTATAGTTTTCAATTCATTCAGTCAATAACTAAACTTTGACTTGTTATAAATTATCGCTTTTCTAAGAAATATATATATTTGCTAACTCTTAAACTCTTCAACAAATTATTCCTTTTTTATAATAGAATATAAGATCATAACTTCATTTTAAGATCATAAAATATAAGCGTCTGTTTCA